GGCCACTGGTGGGCAGATGATTTAATACCTCGATTTAGCGGGGCAGATTTGTCAGATTGCATCGTCTGCGAAAAACTATAACGCCAATTGCAAAACTATTTCCGTTATAGATTCAGCAATGATACCACCGACGCGACGTAATAGTCCAACCACTAATCAACATTCAAATGTTAAAATTATACGAATTATTTCTAAAACTCAAATTATTATACATGGCTATAGGTATTATTATTATAAAAAGTTCGACGAGGAAATATTCTGACGTAAGTAATTCTAAGAGACATTGCCCACAATGGGTCACTAAACCATGAACGAATTTTGACTTGCAAATAAAGTTTTCTGAAGGAAAATGACGCGTAGAACACGATGCGCACATTAAAAACGCGAACAAGTAACTCAATTAGAGAGAAATGCGCAGTTCAAATCGCTCAACTTATACGCAAAAAAGCGCCCCCGGTTTCGCGCCGCGCCGAATGATGTCATCCGGCACCAATCAGAAGCGGGCACGGGTTTCCACGACTTCCGTCAAATATCTATCTACTCTTCGTACATGAAAACAATACTAATTCAAGACTTGAATCTCATTCATATGTTAGCTGTAATAAACGAGCAACAATTCCACATTGAAACACGTTTTATTTGAAAAAACATCAGAGGAAAATGAGAGAAGATTGCGATATGACTACCGCAGTGCGTCAACACCGTCAGTTTCCCGCCATTCGGGTGCGTTTGAAATGTCTTGCAGTTTTTAGATTTTTCAAAAGCGGGTTTATCCGCGATTTCGGCTCCACAAAAATGCGGAAAAATCACCCCGTTATCTACTCACATTGTACTTTCAGAATATTCAATAAAATAAACAAGGTTTAGTGACCCATTAATAAAAATAACATGTTTCCCAACGTTTATAAAATAGGAGGCGTTATGGTGGCATTCCAGCGACAATTCTCAGTTGAGTTTTTTAAAATGTAAGAACGATATAGAACGAATAAGAGCAATTACAAATCCGAAATCCCTGTGGCATATTCCAGGGAAAGCTTCTTCCCTCCAAATCTTTTTAAGTGCATTGACAATGTCTAGGTGCCCTCAGCCGTACCCTAAACAGGTCCTTTCCTCAGGAAGTCTCCGTGTGATTTACATTGGGAGAAAGGGAAGTTTAGGAAGCCCTAAACTTTGAGTGACATCCAACGATTCAACTTTAGAAGTAAGTCCTTACTCGGGGTCACCATGACTCGAATCTTTAAAAAATAAAATGTGTAGAAAAAAATCAATGATTTTGAAAGAGTTAAAGGTAGGTACGGATTCATATGAAAATTCGAAAACCCGTGCCACTTCTTTGGGGGGTTACTTCGTAGTTTTTAAATTAGCTAATTACTTTAATCCCTTGTGAGGATATATTCCCGAAGATATTCAATTGAATTTCAAGAGTGGCGGGGCGTGAATGATCGATTATCCTTACTTCCCCATTTGAAGCTATGGTAAAGAATCGCTTGTTAAGGTGTTCATCGATCCTTTTCCATAGGTTTAAACGGCAGATCAATCGACACATCGTAAAGCACGCCGCGCCAGCAAATTCCACCCATAAGAATTTTGAAAAAGTATCGACTGAGATGGCTAATCTCTACGGCATGTGAGAGCGCCATTTCTTGAAGAATTCTTATTTTCGCTCTGGCTGAAGTTTGCGACGGACCCGTTGCGGATGTTTCGGTATCGGGTCCGGAGTGAAGCCGCGGGAAGTTTCGACTCCGATACGAAGTTGAAGTTGAATCCTAACCGCCGAGGCCGTACACACAGGGGCCCGGGCCCGTAGCGTTAGGCGATGGCGGTGGGGGTGTCAAGAATCGGGCGCGGGTTTATTAATGCTCCTCTAATAGCCTCATTAAATCCCGCATAAATCATCTCTCGCCCTTTTAATTCACTTGTAGTGCTGTCCGGCCAAATTTCTCCGCCCCGCCCTGCCGTCCTTCCACAACCGCGGAGGCACTACGACCAAGTTCCGAGCCACTGAGTTGGACTAAATTTTGCAATTAGGAACTACAATTTCTCGTTCGTCCGTAGAAAAGCATACGTCTATAGAGAAACGAATATTGCATACGTTGTTTTAAAACTGATCCAGAAATTTTAGTTCCTAATTGCAAAATATAGTTCAGTCTCCTTTTACAGGGAAAGGGCAAATTGGACTCTCGGTGCTAACATCACGGTGTAAAGCTGATTTTTATTTTGCACTTCCGTCGTAGGAAGGAGCGTTTTATCACTGAAAATTTAAGGTGAGTGGACAGCGTATCTACTTTAAGGGTTTTGAAAAAACGACATCTATACAACGGAGCATTAGACAAGGTATATAAATGGAAGCACTACGCAACATTTTTTCTCTTCAAAATATCACGGGAAAACCAATCCTACAGCAAATGGTCCGGAAATTGTCTCTGAAACAAGATTTAATCGTTCACAATTAACCTCAGTGAAATTTAAAAAAAAAAAAAAAAAAAAAAAAAAAAAACGTCATTTTTACAGTCTGACTTCTATTTGATATATGTGTTAAAACTTTTTAAAATCTAGTTTAGAAGTTGATTTCTCAGCTGCACGTTGTGTGAATCACCTTCTACGTAAGATTATAAGCAGAAAGCATGTGCCTTGTTTTTTTAGTTCCGATCTTGTCAGTGGTCCATCGTAGGACTGGTACTGCATCAATGGTTAAAGTAAAGAAATACGTGTCTCTGATCTCAACTTTATGGATCCCCGCCTCTGATTCAATAATTTATTTTTTTAAGAGGTATGCGACTAACCGTTTTTCTTTAATATTTATGTGAATTGTCTTATTTCTTTGCTTGAGGAAGTGCTGTAGGTATGAGCTAAAATCACTTGTTATATGCTTTGAGGTACGGCACGCTTGTACGCTCTTCAATTCTGAAGTTGACGTAGTTAATAATTTATATAAAGTTGTTGGAAACAGCGGTAAATTATTCACTCTCCAAATCCCACACGATTCGATTCCAAATCTCATGTCTTGTCACCTTCAAAACTAAGACAATTCGATCTATATTTAGTACTCTCTCTGCGGCTTTTTAAGAGCGATGTGATGCGTCTCGCTGACCTTTTTTCGTAGATTCTTATCATGGGTGAGGCTAGAAATCATTCTTGGCAGAAAAATGGGACGATCTTTGAGAAGTTCAGCGGCGTCCATTGGCCATCAGTAGCGGGGCGTGCTTTGCGATATATTGATTGATCTATGCCAATTAAATCTATGGAAAAGGATCGATAAACCGGGTGTTTCCTATGAACACCTTGTTTATCGATTCTTTACCACAGCTTCAAATGGAAAGATATCAGCAGGTAATCGATCATTCACGCCTGGCTACTGTCGGACACATTTATATCGTCACATCTCAATGTACACTCGAAGATAGATTTAAACGTACAGTTCTACATCAATATATACATCGATTTTACCGCAGTTGAATTAAATCCAACTTATTGATGAATCAAACATTCATTATAAACGTATCAACCGTAAAAATTAGAATACAAATAGAATTACAGTTACATCAATCTCTCTCTGTAACGATAATGAAATGCACCGGCCGATTTCCTTGCCATAGAAAGGTTCTCATGCACGATAGTCGATCAGAAAAAGATGGACGAGCTCCAACGTCAATGACTCAATAGACTAAGATACCATTCAGGGGTGTAAAATCTTTACGAACCCATTATCAAAGGATTGCAGGTTCGGGGTACACACTGGTAAGAAATGGTGTACTTACACCACCGCTGTTACTACAGCGGCTGTAGGTCTGGCACAGCGAAGTTAAAAATCGACGGTGAAAGTCGGCAATCACATAACTCGGTTTGCGACGTCGCAGACTTCCTGTCATACTTTATTTTTTAAACGGAAAACTACTCAACGAAAATTCTTTAAAACTGTCGTGATTTTTCTTCTCTATGTGAAGAAAATTCTGCAAAAACTTCAAGAAATAATGTCAATTTGTTCTCCTTTAAAAAAATATTATAGAGGCGGAGATTTTCAGACACCGCAAACGAGTTATGTGATTGCCGACTTACACCGTCGAAATGCTCTATGACTAAAGCGCCCACCGGCCCACTGTAGTAAATCCGCAATGCGTGAGGTATTCCTACAGTCTTGTAGGCGCTAATGCGCTTCACGCCGACCGCGCTGAGTTTGGCGCAATGCGTGAGGTATTCCCAATGTCTTGTAGGCGCTAAAACGCATTTCCCACGAACGTGCTGTTTGGCGCGATTAGTTTAGCTCGTGGAGTCAGCATTTTTCAACTTGTTACCACCATTAGTTTTCGCACACTCTGTTTGGATTACTGTTATTCAAAATTATGAACAAAAATTACGTAAAATCTAACTTAGCACCATGCCCGCACCTCTTGTGAAACTGCACTGTTTTGTCAGCCGCTGAAAACTCGGAGGCAACAGCAGTAGTCATTGTTTACGCTCTTGAGAAGGCAGATTCCGAGGTACAAACCCGCACTTTGACTCTTGAGTCAGGTCGACGCGACGGCCGCTCACTACAAAGAGAGAACTACTCTGCCGTGCTAAGGGAGAACGCCGTATGATCATTCGAGAGTTGCCAAATTTCCTTTGATAATATGTTTATTTTTGAGACAATATATGAATATATTTCCTTGAAATTCTTGTTTTATAAAAAGGAAATTTGGCAACACCTGAAGGCTCATACGGCGTTCTTCCTTAGCACGACAGTACTCCGTTGTCATACTCGTTATTTCGGGAGGAAAATATAAGTATATTTAATCTGGGAAGTTCAGGGGACCGACTGATTTCCTCGCTATAGAGAGGGTCTCGTAATAACGATAGTCGTTACAGAGAGAGGTTGCTGTACAAAATGTAAATTATCATCTATACTGCACCTGTAAATAAAAAATGAAGTAATAGAACATCACATCGTTAATAATACGTTTTAATGAGTTGTCAAAATCATCTAAAAAATTAAGAAATCAGTGAAAATGTAAATGTCTTACCGTTACTATCCTCTTCATCCTTTCCTATACCATTTGTCTCGATATTTCTCGCTTTTTTACCTGTGGAAGAGAAAAGTGTATTAGAACAATTTTTAAAATAAAAGTATTACGATTTCCGATTAGCACTCTGCAACGTCAGAGGGTATTTTACAAACGTGAGGCAAAGTGGTGACAAAACGCACAGGAAGTCCCACGTTGTCTATTTCTCTATTAAAAATAAAACATGAGAGGAAATTAGTCAACGTGAAATGTAGTTGTCTTGAAAACGGTTTATCCGTCGTTATAACCATGACAAAAAATGAAAAATAGCGGAGGGAAGGGGGTTCCAGAGCTCCTCTAGAGAATGGTGTAGACATTTCATTTTGGCTGAAAAACACAAGAAAACGGGTAACCGAGGCTAAAAACAATATACACCTGAGCCTGTAAAGCCCTCCTCGACCAGGAAACAAAAATATATGAAAATAAAATAATCACATACATCAAAATCCCTAGACCTTCATTTATAATAACGAAAAGTAGATCTTCTTGTGAACTTATTTTTGATACTACGAATGGGGGTCTAGGGATTTTGATTTTTATAGGTAACTTTTTATATGTTTTGTTTCCTTTCGAGAAGGGAGTTAAAAGCGCTCATGTTGAAATGTCCCAGGCTTTGTGCTCGCTGCTTTTAGTCTTGGTTACCCGTTCTTTTTTGTGTTTTAGTTGAATCATTAGGGCCTTTTTGTGTATTATTGTTTGGATTTTGGTATGCTTGTAATTCCTTCGTTAGCATCCAGTTTTGCCTACTGCGCGACGCGTTATGGATTCCGGAACTCGCGCATTGAATTCGAAGTTCTCGGGTTCCGTTTGGGTTTCGGATGACTTTGATCCGTCAAAGTTGGGCCGGGATGCCGAATGCTCCTCGGATGATTGACAAGTGCAATTAGGGGTTGCAAAATCAAACCAACCTCAACCTAAACACCCGCCGGCGCAGCGTGGCGTAGCGTAGAAGACCCGCGAGATGTGTTGTGTACTTGAGTTACCGCAATGATCGAAGAGTTGGATTTCCATCCTGACAGAGAGGTTTTACTTTTTGGAAAAAAAAAAAAAAAAAAAAAAAAAAAAAAAAAAAAAAAAAATATCCGAACTCATCGATCAGTAATGATTGTATCGAGGGAAACAAAACATGTTCCGTATTGGCAATATTTCCTATCAGTATTGCAGCTGTAATTGAGAGCATGTAGCTCGGCTTTCAGCCGGTAGATCGCCAGTAATGAGATTATTGAGTATAGCAAGATTGAGAGCATGCAGTTTAGCTTTCAGTCCAGTGATCTCAACGCGATCTACTCAAACATCAAGCCTTGGAAAGACATGACCAGACAATTTTGAGCCCCGGGCTAGTAATAGCGATTCTTCAAGTCGACAAAACTAGGCTTCGCCCATTAAAATATATGTAAAATAATTTATGAGCATCAATTCTAGGTGGGCTCTAAAATCAATTATTGAACACGGTTGCCAACTCGCAAAAACCGCCGAGGGATTGATCCTCACTTATCCATCGCCAAATGCTACAATTTAAACTACGCCTTTCCGTGCTCCAAGTCCAAATTTTTACTTTCTCGCACCCCTCGTTTCTGTTAGTGCACGTTTTTTTTACAAGATACCTCAATCGGAACGGGCGGTGTATGCTGCATTGCCAAATTTCACGGCGCATTGCGTACGTTCCCGACATAAACGGAGGGAAATTTTGGTTCCACGATCCGGCAAACCTGTGTGTGATCTATGCTCTTAAATGACAGCCACGTATACAATAACTCCTCGCGACGTATGCACGATAGCAACCCACTTCATTTTTAGTAACATTGCAACTTCTCTCCCTTCCACCCACCCCCTTCTCGCCCCCTGCCACCCCCTCCCCCCCTCACTCCCCCGATCATCCGTTACATCCGCCCTACGATTCTTTTACATTCGGGATTCATAATGCATCGGATACAAATCGAATCTGCCCTCTCTCCATACGCCCCCCAATGCCCCCCTCTCCGTACGGTAAAAAGCGCATCCTTCGTTTTAAATTACTTTTCTTCTTCCGTAAAATTCAATTTTACGCGGGGAAAAAGGAGAAACTTTAATTCCAACTTTTCCCCGCAGACGCTGTCTGTTACCGTATGGAGGGGGAGGGGGAGCTCAAAGCTGGGTAACTTTATTAGCCGGGTAAACGAGGCCGAAGAAGCAGCTGAATGGGGCATCGAGCGTTTACAATACAAATAGTGGTTTAAAAGGGGAGCGAAGTTGATTTAAGGAAAAATATTCGGCCGGAACGGCGATTGAAGCTATCGGCGCTCATTTCGGTGTTAAGGGGGAAAAAAGATGGTGAAATTACCAATGACCTCACCAACGTGCGAGCCATAAGGAAACGCTTTTATCAGAGAATGAATCTGTTTTGTAGAAAGTATGACGACAACCTCATTATGTGAAATTTTCAAATGATGTGTCCTTATATGTATGACCTGCAGTGCGACGTTTGCATATCGTTTGGTAAAACTTAACAGATCTTTGTAAAATTTCGCAAATAGTTTTGGGAATCTCAACAGTGCCATGTAAAACATCGTGCCGTTTCCTAAATTTTAAAAAATCAAATGTTGTCACTATTATAAATCAAACAGATTTATAATCACACAGACATTTTTTTCTCAATGAATTGTCTCTAGTAAAGTCACTGCTTTGGAATATGTATATGTCCATAAGAAAACATAACTCAATATAAAATAAATGCAAAAATATATCGTGACATAAGATCTTTCAACAAACATCTAAACTATACTGCTTAGCTATAAAATTGCATCCTATTACTCGCATTTAAGCCACTTCTTATATATCATTCACTCACACCCCCATAAACAAAACGTCTTTGTTGCAGTGAAAGAAAAAAAAACATCTTAATTAATTAATGAATTTAAAAAATCAGAAATAAAATATTAACACATGCGGAGAGAGTTTGGGGCCATTCATAAAAAACCTACACTAAATTTTGAATTTTTCGACCCCCTCCTGTGAACCTCGTAACGTGTTCTGACGTACATTCCCATCCTTTAACACGTAATAACAAAATGGCGTAACACGCCTCATGGACCCCTTTCCCATCTGGAGCATTACGCTAGTGGTGTGGCGTGAATGATCGATTAGCGATACCTTTCCATTTGAAACTGTGGTAAAGAATCGATTATTAAGTTGTTCGTTGTGAACACCGTGTATAAAGATCCTTTTCCATAGGTTTAAATGACAGATCAATCGTTTTATCGCAAAGCACGCCACGGCACTGCATATTACGAATTTTATGAACGGCTCTTAACGATTGAAACTGACCCATCCGCATGCCGTCTATGCTTTCCTTCAAACTATGCGAATTGCAGTGTTTCCAATTTTGGCAGCAGTGGATTGAAAGAGGGGCTCAGGTAATTTGTGAGGGAACAAAGATTAGTGAAGCTTTTTCATCTCAAAGGTTCATAGAAAGAGTCGGCTATGAGTAATTAAGAACAATGAAAGTAATTAACATTTGAGATTTAAAAAGGGGCTGAAAGTGAAGAGGCAATCCAGAGCAAAGAGAAACGAAACGGAATGGACGAGTGAAAAGGATGAGCCTCAATGAAAATATGCAAAAAGTTCACCGCTCGGAAGGATTTAATTGAAAAACAAATCCATTTTAATCTCACTCCACGCGCCTCCACACAATGGGAAAAATTAGGTTTTTGGCGGCACGCTTTACCGCGCTTTTAAACACAGTGTAAAAAGATAAAGTTTGGTTCTACGTCCCAGAGTTCAGTTTATATCAAACATTATGGTATGGTTTGCGTACTCGAATACATTTTATCAGTAAATAATGTAAATTAACTGAATAGCTTCATATTATTGATATCGATAAGTCAAAATAATAAAATAACAAGGGAAAATCAGACATGATACCTTTTGCATGTTTATTCTTCTACGAGGCCTTTAAAGTTCCTGCTTGAAGATGATTTATGTTGAATCGAGATGCCTCTTACAGGAACAAAACATGCAAAAAGTATTGAGGCTACTTTTCCCTTCTTATTATCTTATTATAATGTAAATTAATTGAATACTTATATTGATTATCCTTTGGCTGAAATTGTTTTAACAGAAAAAAGGTTTCTTTGAACAACAAAATGAATGTTTTAACTAAACCATCGAAATTATGATAGCACGAGCAAATATTATAACTATTATAATAATAACAATGTTGATCAATTTATTATAATTATGAGACTTAAATAGTAGATAAATAAATTTTATAGAAATATTTGAGCTGTTGTTATCTAGTTTGTTTAAATAACAAATTCAGAAATTCATACCATTTTTCCAGGTTTTATTTCTAAAATAAGCTCTTCCGAAACATCAATTTTCAAAATTATTTAAATCTCCTGGCAGGGTTAGCTCAAGTTTTGTTGTGTTAGAAAGTTTGATTTTCCTATTAATTGTACCTCAAAATACTGGAATTTCAAGTTCTATAAACTTGAAGAGGGTTCTTTATGTGTAGCTATATGTGCCTCTGATAAATGGGGATGCAACTTTCTTTGGCCATTAATGGTGAGATTTTCACCTGTTGTGCGAACTTGCTGTCTCTTTAGCGGAGAGATTCACCCCTTTTTTCTAAAATTTGGAAAGTTCTTCATTTGCCCATTTGTCCAAACAATTTTGATGGCCTAAATGGCGGCACTCTGGAGAATTTAGCTTATTTGTGCTGGGAAGTTTTCGGACATTTTTCCCCCTTTACTTTTTATCCCTCAGAAGGCTCATTTCTGTCACCTTCTCCCGCTTCCAAAAGTTCCAAAACATTCTTCCATTAAGAGAATTTAAGATAATCAAACTGGATGTAATCGACGGTGCTCTGAGGTTTGATTTTCTTCAACTCAAAAAATCCAACGCGAAAGTTTTGGTGATTTTCTTTAAAGTTTATGAGATTAAAATTTCTAAAACCTAGAAATCGAAATAAAATAGATTTTCGTTCCTGCCGCTTCAGCACAGTGTCTACCATTCAGAGGGAATCTGCCGAACAAATATTTGGA